TCACTTATTGCTCCGCCACTAAAGTTAAATCACATGCGAGAACACGTTAAGAACACTTATTTTCCGAAACTATAAAAATTTTCACGCGTGACAGATAACTGTAGGAACACTAGTCTCCATTTGGTGCGAAAATGTGCACAGATTTTTGTCCGCAGACATTATCTGTTCCAAAATGCAAATTTTTCCGAGAGCCAAACTCGAGGAAAATTGTGAGCTTCGAGGAACAAATAATGTCCGTGAATAAATTTACGAGCATATTTTTTCGCCAAATAGAGGCCATCGGTGTTTATTACCCTACAAATATTTGCAAAGCGCGGGAAAATGACTGGTTTACCAACAGCTTACCGTTTGCTGCGTGGAATGTTCAGTATTCTCTGGTACAACTTTATCAAGTTTGAGTCGTTTCGTAGCCAAATCACTGATCGATTCTTACCCGTCCCATACCCAAACCGCTTATCGATTCTTACCCGTGAGCAAGGGAACAGATGTCAGTTGTTGCGTACGACAAGTTAGTAAAGTCAAGCGAGTCAGATACAAACAAAATTTTGCCGTGCATGCTTGTGATCTTAACAAAACAACTCAATTATTACCTAGCGCAAGGTAAGCGAGATATTTTTAATAGGTCTATAGTTCATACATGTGACTTTTTCTGGGAAGCATTTTTAAGCAGACTTCGCTGAAACAATTTCTGAAAGGATACGCAAACATCAACAGATCCGTAATCGAATGAACTGAACGCTATTACGTCACGCGGTGATTAAATAAAGTATCAGTAGAAAACAAAAGATTGTAATTTATTCAGTTCTATAATTTCTAAAGGTTTGACGTTTAATAATATTAACAGAAAAAATTGAACAGTTCGCAGACAATAGCTCCCTCTGCTGTTTATGTTTGGTTTGTTCTGTTATAAAAACATTGTCATATTAGAGTGCATTAACTGACTTAGTTGTTATTTTAATTAGGCTGGGTATCACTTTGACTTGCCTCATACAATTGTTTTTTAATAGTTTTTCGGGAAGAATTGGCATGGAGTGCGTCTAGCAGTACATCTAATGTTCTGCTTGACTTATCAGTGTCATATGGGCCACTGGCTTTGGCACCTTTGAATGTAATATCAAAATAAAAAAATAGTCACTGTTTAATATGCGATTAAGTGCATAAATTCAAGAAACCATTTATTATTTGTCACCGGGAGGGGGAGGGGAAAGGAAGGTGCCGGAGGATTTTGAAAGAGGCTGAAATGGTTTTCAGGGGGGATCAAGTGGTTTTCAGGAGTATCAAATGGTTTCCAGAGGGGGATGAAATGGTTTTCAGGGGGGATCAAGTGGCCTTCAGGGGGAATAGGGGGATTAGTCATCGCTAACAGAGTATAAAGGGGGGAATTACAAAAATTTGACTGCCGTTCATTATTATTGAGGCGCGATTCGTAGGAATATCACAGAACCTTAAGGGTGGATTAGGTAAATTTTATCATGACGTAACTAAAATTCTCCAAACCCTTCCCCTCTCTGCCCCCGGAAGTAAATAACGGCTGGTCCCGAACTTCTGTGTCTGTGTCTGAAACTCTTCCTTTAGAACATTGTGCTGTTCGTTTGTTGCTGCAGATGCATTATGATCCACGGTTTTCCTGGATTCCTGGATTTCTGGTAACAAATCTGGGATAGAGCTTTGTGGACTGCATCATGTTAATTCCAGTTTGGAGTTAATAATGCCGTTTTTTTCAAGCCGAAATTCAGTGGACGTCCATTTTTAAAGGGACTGTGAACCAATATCTGTGAACCAATATAAGCAACAGCTCCTTGCAATATATATATAGTGACTGGTCCCAAATGTGGCAAAGCCTGCATGGATGGTAGTACACAAAAAAAATAAATAACTGGATTTTAGCATTGGATAACCATGGGGTGGCTCTTCCTGTCCACTTTTGCCAGGTTAACTTGGAATTTATAATGTTAGTATTTTGCCAAGGGAGGAAAACTGGAGCACCCAGAGAAAACCTCTTGAAGCAAGGACAAGAACCAACAACAAACTCAATCCACATGTGATGCCAGGTCCAGGAATTGAACCCAGTTCACAGTGGTGGGAGGGGTGGGAGGGAAGCACTCTCACCACTGCACCTCCCTGCTTCCACAAGGTCTGTGTTTCAGGTAATATAGCATTGAATTGCAACCAGCTCCCTTCTTTAATTTTTTGAATCATGATTGATGCTCAAGATCACAACATTTGGAAATTTCAGCCTGGTTCCAGCAAGAAATGGGTCTCTATTCTTTCCTTTCACCCACCCCACCCCCCTCATTTGCCTTCTCACTAAAGGTGGGAAGGAATATTGAAGGAACATTGAGGTAAGTGATTGCTGATTTAAACCCCTTTACAATCATGATTACCTCAATTTTCCACAACTGTTAAAAAGTTTTGGGTATTGTCCACAATGTGTCAGGATGCTACATTACATGAAAAATAATTTGACAAAGAAATAAAACGGAAACTTATCTTAAGCAAGAACAGTTGTACATCAAATCAAGTTAAACCTGAAGTGAATTCATGGGTATTACTGTGCAGAAAATTATCTTTTTTTGGTCAGGTCAGCCTCTTAAGGTTGCAATTCTGATTAATGAGCTATTCTGCAATACATCTGGTACAAACTTAGCTGGCATCCCCACAAAAGTCCTCCCCAATTGATCTGCCATATTTAATCCTTTAACTCCCATGAGTGACCAGGACAGAATTTCTCCTTACAATATTAATACAGTATCAAGCAGACAAGTGATGAGAATAACAAAAAAAAACCAATTAGGGGATTTTAAGTTGATCCAATACCAAATTCTCCAAACTAACATCACAAGAACTGTATGGCAGACAGTAAGGAGAATTACTAACAAGATCTTGAGAGTTAAAAGGTTGACAATCAGTCCTCCATCTTAAACCCATTATGCTCTGACATTAGTATGAATATTCTCCACACTGTCCTCTAAAAATTTCTCAAGGTGCTGTCAAGGAGAATTTGTTTAACAATCAAGAGCTTCTTTTCCTCTATTCTCTTGGCCTTGATTTGTGATTCAGGGGTGATATTGTAAGAAGAAATTAGATGCTAGTTGTTATGTCCATTGTGTTATTTCCACATAGCTTTACTTTTCAAGGGTGCCATGTTGGTGCATGTGCTATGGAAGAATTTAGATGCACATGACTATCAGAAATATATCATATCTTCTGGAATACTAATGTTACGTGTCAGTTATTTTTTCAAGACAGATTGTTGAATGCAAAGTGCATGGCAAAGAGAAGGTTTTCTTGGAGGTACATGTTTGGCAAAGTTTGCTAAGGCTCTCAGAGAATTTCTAACTTTAATTTGTATTATTGTTGTGTACATGGAAATCTGAGGATTAATTAGGAAGCCTTTGCACTAGTCACTCTTTGGGGGTAAAGGGTTTATGAAGGTTCATAATTATATAACATGCATGCTCTCCCCAGACTCCTAAGGCTGTGCTAATGCCATGCATTGCATGATTCCCCCCATTAATTATACATATTTGCTTTGCACATCCAATGGCAAAAAGGGTCACCTCACCTTTAATTTCTCAACCTTTCTTTTGGCCAGTGTTTATTGAGCTTCTTCTCTAAAATGAAGTCTGCAAGATGCAAAGACACTGCAAAATTAAAATCAATTTAGACATGGCCTGTTAAATTTACTGGCTAACTTTCATAATACAACATATTTGGCAATTGTGTGACTTAGCTGACCATACTGGCCTGATCGTATAGATAACAACATGATTTTGAATGCAATTTGGTGTTGCTAAGCATGAGTTAATCATTCAAAGACAACAGAATTGCACAAATCCATGGGGCAAGAACAATTTGTGATCTTTGGAAAATTTACCAGTGCTTATTTAAACTAAACTGCACAAGAAATCATGTTGTTACTTGTTAATAATTCACATGAAAAACACATCACAGAAAGTCGAGGTGGATGAAATTTTGGCAGCACTCATTTACTAGTTGCACTTTGAACTTGTGTTACAACTTCAGATTTTTTCATGTACATTATTAATGGATTCATTATCTCTATTCATATCAAGCCAGAGTGAAACTCAAGTCAGGCACTTCATAACATGGGATCAGCCACCCAAGCATGGTGCAAAGGTGTGCAAGGTTAGTATATGGGGGTGAGGGGAGCAGAGAGGGAGCAGTAGGCAATTGGCAAGAGTAATATGGAGTACAAGCAAAGGGAAGCTATTCCTTGTAGATGTACTCAGAGTGAAGATGAACCAGACAAAAACTAAACTCACGTTTGCTTTATATTTGAGTGTCATCAACACCCATCTTTGATTCACAAACTACATCTGACATGTATATCCCACCATCTCTGCTACCACTCAGAAAACAAATACAAGGATAGAGAAACATGCAAAAATATACATGAAAAAATTAATCTAAATTAAATTATTAAAATATAAATTAAAAAAATTATGCAGCTCTGATTGGCTGATTAACGAGTGCATTCTCATGTAACACAAGTGAGTACAAATTATAAAAAGCATGCGCATGCTTTCAAATTTTGTCTGTCTTGTCTGTGATGTTTTTTCATGTACCTTATTAACAAGAGGTAACATAATTGCCCTTGTAATTTTGTGTAATAAGCACTTGTAAATTTTTCAAAGACTAAAAATTGCACTTGCCCTACCAGCTTGAGCAATTTTGTTGTCTTTGTGCTTAATAACACCAAATTGCACTTGGAATCATGTTATTACCAATAAAAAACAGCTGTTAACCAAGCAGGAAGGAACCAAAATAAAGAAAATAAATAAATTGTCATGATTTAAACTTTAAAAATGACACAGGAAACAACACAACAAGTAGCAGGCCACACAGATCTAAGACACCCAACAGTTCAAGGTAAATTGTGAAAGTTATAGTATTTGTCAACAAAATTATCTATCTAAGCTGTAAAATACTACCACAATTGCAAAAACCATCAATTGCAAAAATCATCTCTGGTCACTATTTTTTGCACATAGTCAGCTTGTTCCTGTTCTTTCCTTTTCTGGGAATCCTCCAAATGTGTTTTAAGTCCTACAGACATGATGAAGTTTATTCACCTTAGAAAGTTCAAGAGAAGTGTTTTCATAATAAAAGCCTGAGAATTTAGACCCTCAAATGACAAAAAAAGTTACGAGTTTTACTGAAATTCACTTACTTGGATCACCTTCTATTTCAAGGGAAGTTGTGTGTCTGATAGATACCAACTAATCTCTTGCCTGCAAAAGGATCAATTCAAATTTCTATTACCCAACATCAGATCGAAGTTTAACCTACTTACAAGAAGTGATTAACATGTAACTTGAGCCCTATAATATCCATAAATCATCCTGTAAACACATTATGAGAATACTCAAACTTATCAGGTGAAAGTGATCTTGATCCTACACCAAATTCTCCTAACTAATTTACAGGGAACTGGAGAGAATTAACAATAAGATCTTATGAGTTCATGGGTTAAGCCAATAAAGCGTATTTGAACAACACATCGACACAAAACCAAGGGAAGCATCCCAAAAAACATACAAAGTAAGTCAGTGAACGCGCACAAAAAATTTGCCATAACAATACATTTTCAGCTGTTGATTGAGAAAAACACGAATACGATACGAACTCATAACTATAAAAAATTGTTGCTCAGGTGAAAAACTTCTAAAAAGGTCAGAAAAGATTAGAAATGCAGGTTATTTGTAAACAAGAGTTGTTGGAACTATACAAATTTGTATAGTTCCAACAGTGCCTTGTCCTTCAGCACTAAAGTCAAATACTCGCTTGGCAAATGAACGCCATCGTCTCGATTGCGAGCGTTTATTTCCCATGCTTCTAAAAAGCGGCAGGGCCGCCAATTTGGAGTTGAGTGTAATACACGATCTTTTTTGTGGTAAGCTTTTTAGTTCCAAGACTGATGTTTAAAAACAGTGTTTTAACGAACCTTCTCCAACTTGAGATGCCGTTTTTAGACGGTGGTTTATTCCACTGACGGCTAATGTAGACTTCTGTTCCGGAGGAGGGTCTATACACCTCCAGAAAGCCTTTGCCTTCTCGATAGCTTCCGCAGAACTTCCCGAAAAAGACACTGTAGCCACGTCCGCCATAATGTTTTTGTTTTCGTTTCCAGGGATGCACGGTAACAAGGTTTAATCTGCGCAGGCCACTAACACTGCTTGTGCACAGCTTTCCATGCATCTACAATTTCTCATTATGTGCAGTGCTTAGGATCACTTCGCTTACTAAGCGAACAAAGACTTTGCAATTAGAAATTCGATCTCAGATGTTGTTCTAGTTTTATTTAAAAAAAACCCCAGTTTGTCAATCTATCATACAGTTTACAACTTTCCAAACCCATGCAAGATTAACAGAGCATGAGAAACATGTTTTGACAAACTAATCTGAGGTAAAAGTAGGTTTCGTCACCTCTTTTCCTTGAGATTTGTCAATTGTATAGAAAGAAAAAGACAACATTCACCAGAAGTCGCTTTTTCTAACAGTGTGCCGGATCATTCCATCATTTCTTCATCAACCCTGCAGCCTTAATCAAGCATTGATCAAAGACTGACCTTGTAACGTTAATCATAAATTAATCACGCATTTACTGACCCTGTAACCTTAATTAAACATTAAGGCTGCAAGAATGGTGGAACTGTTCACCAGCTCAAGAGGCTTTTGATTGTTAAACAAATTCTCCTTCTCAGCAACTTGGGAAATGCATAGAGAACATTATGAAGAAAATACATACTGATGCTACAGTGTAGAGGGTTAATTTTTGAAAACTGTTGTCAGTTAAAATCTACAAGAGGTCGTTACATAAGGGGAAGACTAACAGCTGCACTAGTGACTAGGTGCGGGATCCTGGCACAGTAACAATATAATTAATATGCTTCACATTAAATTCCATTCTCTGTCAATGGGAATCCTGCCAAGATTCTGGTGAGGTCCCATGAGGGGCCCATTTAGCGGTTGTGGTAGGATTCCCACACAATGGAACATGGAATTTGCTGTGAAGTATCCTATTAAAGAAAGTCTGGAAAAATGCAAAGGGTAACCAAATAAAAAGAAAAAGAGGGAGGAAACATAAGGAGAAGGAAACGCCAATGTAATTAATGCAAAATATAAAAAAGAAGGAATTTAAATTCAATGCAAAAAGTCACTGCAGAAATTAAACACTCACCTCCCTTACAAGATGCAAGATTATGTGATCATCTGTGGAATTTGTCTACACTTAAGGCTGTGGAACCTTTAGGGAAATTCGTTTTGTTAGTTGTCACACAAGAGAGATAAAAAAAGAGGGGGTTTCCACTTACCCTCCTACTTTGGATCAATATATTTATAGGGTAAAAAGATTGAAGAAATGCTCAATCTTCAAACCAGTAAATGCTGATTAGTCATGATAAGCAGAAATAAGAGAAGCTTGAAGCCCTCTACACCTCTATTTGTTCCCGAACAGTTTTCTTTTCTTACAGCATATTTACAAACAGAGTGGACTACTTATGCAAACAGGCCACCATAAAGAGTTTAAAAGCTGACATTTTGAGCATTAGCCCTAAGTCAGAGCATAGCCCTTTGCCAATTGCTCTGATGAAGGACTAACACTTGAAACATTAGCTTTAAAACTCTTTATGGTGGCCAATTTGTTATCAACTCAGTTGACAGTACTAAATTACCCTGATATACTCTCCCACTGATGCAGCATCACAGTTTCTTTAAACTTACCCCCTTTATCAACTTGTACAAACAGATGATAGAAATGCATGTCTCTTGATGATAATAATGGTATAGATACAGACAAACTTAGAAATATTTACTACCTTATTCAAAAATTTCTGTATCAGGCCCTTTGGCAGTGAAGATGAGTAAGAGAGTTGGTTAGCTGCAAACAGCTGTTGTGCTTGTCAAGGAAACTACCACAGCCCATGCTGTTCTTTGCACACACTCTCCTTCTCTCATTTCCACTGACCATGAGAATGACAAAAGCTAAAATTATTTCTGCTATTTTCTGTCTAAGTCTTCTTCTTAAGAGACTCTATCCTGCTTGATATTCCATCATTCTTGTCCAATAAGACCTGAAAGAGAACATTATAAAGGTAAAGAAATCCACCCTTAACACCTAAGATCTGATTTTTAATTCTCCCCTCTGGCTGCTACACATTTCCTTGTGAATTAGTTATGAGAATTCAGTGTTTGATCAAGATTACAATCTCTACCTGATAACTTTCAGTATTCTCATTACCTGAGAATATATACAATACCAAAGGGGGTATAGAAAAGATAAAAAGTAACCCTCAGGTATACACAACCCAAGAGGGGAGAGACGAGATTAAAAATAAACCCCAGGTATACACTACCCATTAGAGGGTATAAGAGAGATTAAAAATAACCCTCAGGTATACACTACCCAAGAGGGTATAAGAGAGATTAAAAGTAACCCTCAGGTATACACTACTCATCAGAGGGTATAAGAGAGATTAAAAATTAACGCTCAGATATACACTACCCAAGAGGGTGTAAGAAAGATTAAAAATAACCTTCAGATATACATTACCCAAGAGGGTATAGGAGAGATTAAAAATAATCCTTAGAACAGTATATGTATCTAATGCAAAAGAAGTTGAAATTAATTATTTTTCTCTACAATATCTAGTAATTTTTGGCCAAGTGACTCTTCATGCAGATTCAGATATTTACTTGAGTATCCATGATTACTGACTGAATTGGACAACACAAAGTCTAATTGTCACCAATTAATCATAACCATTACAATTTCTGGAAGAACAAATGCAAAATTTTAAACTGAATGTGCTTTTTAAACTCTGTGAATAGTGGATTTGGCTGAGTGGACTTACTAACTAGTATGATTGGCTGCTTTAACTGTCCAAATACAGCTAGCCATGTCCAATCAATGCAGTCAAACCTTGATTATCTGACCTCCATTATCCAGATTTTTCCATTACCTGGGCTTGCTGCTCTTGTCCCATTTTCTACCAACATTTATACTCATATCTTTGATTCTCCCAACTCTGGATTATCCAGACTATAAAGCCCATGATTCTCCACAAGTCTGGATAATCAAGGTTTGACCATACAGCCAACTGTCTGGTTACACTGTCAGATTAAAACACTATAAAAATAACTATAGAAAAATAAACCATCTAACGCACCATTTACATTTGAGGAAATTAAGTTATGGTTATGATTAACCCTATGATTCCCAAACTTCTAACAGACAGTTATTGAGAGTAATTTTTTACCGAAATTAGAGCCTTTCATATTTTAGAAAAGAGAGATGATCTTAATAACATAAACAAACCTCCTTACACCCACAAAAAAAGAACATAACCAACTGCACATATATCAATAGACTGAGTAACATAACATTAAGTAAAGAAAAGTGGTAATATTGAATGCCACACAAATGAGTGATATAAACAAAAAAGTGCAATTAAGACTTAAAAGCTTGTGTTCTATTAACAGATAACACTACAGAAACAAAAACATTTTCACTGTACAGCAGCAGGAGTAATATTATAACAATAGAACCCTTAACCCTTTACACCTTAACATCAGTGTTCATATTCTCCACACTGATCTCTCTACATTTCCTGTGGTAATGACAAGGAGAATTTGTTTGACAATCAGGAGCTTCTTAAAATGGTGATTATTTCTATTATTCTTACAACCCTTACACTTGATTCAAGGGTGATACTGTAAGGAGAAATTAGAAGCCAATCACTCTTAGGGGTTTAAGGGTTAATAAACTGGTGAAAATCTTCCATCTGGCTTTTAAATGCATATTGATTATATGGTCACATGTTAGAGGATTGGACTCCAGTGTTAATATCATGGATCATGTATTAATAACAGACATGTTGGATTGGACTCCAGTGTTAATATCATTGATCATGTATTAACAACAGACATGTTGGTTATTGAAGTAAATATTGTGTTCAGTATGGTGAATGGCTTCATGTACAAATACATGCACATACAGCAAGCAATTATACTGTAGGTAAATTATACTGTTCTCAAATGTATTTCTTTTTTCAGATTAGTTTGAATGCTGTTTAGCTGTACAAATATTATATGCAATAATCACAGCCTGCATGAAGAATAAGCTGTGAAACTGACTTTCTTGGTCCTCCCCCCCCCCATATTTAATTTCCAGTCCAGACTCTTCCAAATTCTTTGTCTTAAATTCCCAATGAAAATTCCAACTGATTGAAAGCTAGAATATCATGACAGATGCTTGTATCCTAACACTTTCACTTCCAGATCAAATTTGTAATTCTCCTTACTGTCAACCATACAATTCTTATAGTAATGGTTCAGAGAATTTAGTATAGAATCGACTAATTATTCTGAAATTGATCTTTTTCTTAATTCTTATCACTTATCTGATTGATATTGTGTAGACATTGTAAGGAGAAATCCTGTCTTGGTCACTCATGGGAGTTAGCAAGTTAAATCATGCAGGAAAATCACGTTCATTTTTAACATTGCAGTAACGAGGAGAAATTAATTTTTAAAATAACTCAGCTCGAGGAATATTTCCCAAGTTTCTCCATTTGAAACCAATTCACTTTCGATTTCCACTTTCACCAGTATCAATTCTCGAACATAAATTTGACTCTAGCACGTTTGCGTGATACGTCCGACAAAAAAACCTACCTTCGAAATTCAGATTTTACATACCGTAAAATTTAGCTTACACATACCAATAAGCTTGCTGAGTTTAGAGAACTGCATGGGAAGCTGTGTTAAGGATTACTGACGGTGTGCGTTTCTTTATGTGCAATTCGTAAATGTCCCCACATAGTTATTTAATGATGTTTTGTTAGAAGCATTCTTCTTACCTTTAGCTTTAAGCTTCTCTCCTGATGTAGACACAATCTGTCAAACAACGCTTGAAATCGATTCGACCAACAGCTGCCAGAAAACACATCGATTCTGTGTTGCTTTGCAATGATGGGATGCTTCGAGGACCACGCGAACACAGACGATCATAATACGTCAATCACCTTATACCAAATAATCAAAGGCATTCATCCGGATGAC